AAAGAATATATTCATTTATAAAAATTATAAACATCTAATAATTAATCATTGCCCACAATATTTAAATATTCATTATGAAATTAAATTATAAAACACTTCATATTATTTTTAGAAACTCAGAAATGGAACTGAATAGGACTGAACAGTTTGGTATTATCACCAAATGTTTCAAGAATTATACATTAGTAAAATCAAAGGAAAAAAATGAACTAATGCCATTGCTAACACCAAGCTAACCAAAAAGAAGCAAATTCCCAGCCATCGAGTCGATGCTGACTTGTAGTGATCCTCAGGAAAGGATTACACTATGCCTGTGGATTTCCAATACATTAACTTTTTACAGAAGTAAGACATCTCCTCTTCCTTCCAAGGAGCAACTGGTGGCTTCAAACTGCTGGCCTTTCCGGTAGCAGCACAATGCACAAGCATACCACCACCAGGGCTCTTGAGTACCATGCCAAGAACCATAAAACGTAAATTAAGTAACACGCAGCTTCTGACAAATGGTAGATTACCCTATACTATGTTTCAAGGATCACATACATAAACTGCAATACACATATATATATCACTTGTCAGCAGATTTACCCAATGCAATGCATCATTTGAGCTCTTGAATGCTGCTTCCATGAGTACGGATTATGGATCCACACAAAATGAAATCCTTGAAAATCTCAATCTTTTCTCTACTTATCATGATGTTACCTATTGGTCCAATTGTGAGGGGTTTTATTTTCTTGAGACTGCACTGTAATCCATACTGAAAGCTGCAATCCTTGATCTGCATAAGAAAGTGGTTCAAGTTTCACTTACAGCAAACAAGGTTGTATCATCTGCATATTGCAGGTTCTTAATAAGCCTTCCTCCAATCCTGAGGCCACATTGTTCTTCATATAATCCAGCCTCTATATTATTTGCTCAGCAGTAAATTGAATAAGTATGGTGAGAGGATAAAACCTGGGCACACATCTTTCCTGATTTTGAACCATGCAGTATCCCCTTGTTATACTGCCTCTTGATCTCTGTACTGGTTCCTAATGAGTACAATGAAGTGTGCTGGAATTCCCATTCTTCTTAAGGATATACTTAGTTTGTTATGATCCACACAGTGGAATGCCTTCACGCCATCAATAAAATACATGTAAACATCATTCTGATATTCTCTGCTTCTAGTCAAGATCTATCAGACATCAGCAATACTATCTTTATTCCAACATCCTCTTCTGAATCTGACCTGAAACTCTGGCAGCTCCCTGTCAATGTAGTGCTGCAACCATTGCTGGATGAGCTTCAGCAATGTTTTACTTGCATGTAGTATCAATGACATCGTTCTATAATTTGAACAATGGGTCACCTTTCTTTGGAATGGGTACAAATATGGATCTCTTCCCATCAGTTGGCCAAGTAGCTGTCTTCCAAATTTCCTGGCATTGGTAAGTAAGTGCTTCTAGTCCTTCATGAGCTTGATAAAAGTTGTCAATTGGTATTCCATCAAATCCCGGACTCTTGTTTTTGGTTACTGCTTCCAAGAAGCCTGGACTTCTTCCTTCAGTGCCACTGATTCTAGCTCAGATGCTACCTCCTGAAATGGTTGAATGTCAAATCTAGCCGAGTATCTTGCATATGTTAACATTTCTTTCCCTGCTTTCTGTATAGAGGGGACAGAGCCACTATACAGCCTCACTCAAAGACCAAACTCACTGCCACCAAGTCAATTCTCACGCATACTCTCTGGCTTTTTAAGAATGAAGCTTGTGAACCCTTGCTCATCATTGTCAAGATGTTCAAATGATTGGGAGTAAAACTCTTTAAGTTTAGAAAAGGCATACTAATAGAATCACGGTTGTGTTAGTCTGGGTACATTAGAGAAACAAATCCACAGAAACTCATATGTATAAGAGAGGTTTTTTGTTTGTTTGTTTTTTAATCATCTTAT